TTCTCAGGGCAGGGTAAGGGTAAGGACCAGTCCTGCTGTATGACCTCAGGAGGCCTTTCCAGAAAAAGCAGCTTAGGTTAGGGCACAAACGGCTGAAAATTCCTTTTCCCCAGTGCTCTGCACAGCGCCTCTCAGTCTCCAGGATGATGTGGGTTTGTGGTTTTTCCAATGTCCTACAGCAAGATTGGATCTGACATGATTCCTTTTAGCAAAATTTGCCCTGGAAGAAAGCTCATGCTGAGTATTCAAGACAAAGAGGCCAAGGGCTGGGGTGCAGTTCAGGGGCAGAGCACTTACATTTCATCAGACCAAATGTGTAACATGTGTGCCAGGCCCTGGGTTCCACCCCAGCGTGTGTGTGTGTATGCACGCACACACACACACACTATTCTATCTGGAATTTGGGAAATAAAAGATGAGCCAAGCAGAGGGTACACCTAGGGAAGGCTTTACTTCCACCTCGCCTGCAGTTACCAATAACTCTGACGAGCTTTTATGAAAATGCTTGTTCTTGCTAAATTTAAATCTGACTAGACTCGTTACAAGTTAAACTCTGTGAATTTGCTGACCCCTAGTGGACAAAGTGGATTATGACTATAAACTACATTGCATTAATTGCAGGTATTTGTTAAATGTAGTGTTAAACCCGGGCTGGTGGTGCAGGCCTGGAATCTCAACATTCGGGAGGCTGAGGCAGGAGGATTGCTTTGAGCTCGAGGCCAGCCTGGGCCACATAGTGAGCCCTTGTCTCAAAAAACAGAAACAAAACAAAAATTAAAAGTTTTGTGACACTAAGATCGCAGGTGTTTCAGGTGTGCACTTTTACACACACACAGTATGTATATCCATGTGAGGAGATGTATATAATAATTTGACTGTCACAGTATGAGACTTCATGTATATGCATAAAAAATGTACATAGGTAAAACAAAAATACACACATTTAAAAATCCAGTGAGACAGGGACTTAGCTCAGTGGTGCCACCACCTGCCTCGCAAGTGCAAGGTCCTTCCATCCCTGACACACAAAAAAAATTTTTAAATAAAAATACAGTGAAATGTTAGTGGCTCAATGGTACAGAATTTGCCTAGCATGCCTAAGGTTGTGGATTTGATCTCCAACACCACACACACACACACACACACACACACACACATGCAATGCACACATGCAAAAATAGATTTTAAAAATTTTAGGTAACTGCAAGTATAGTGAAATGTTAACATTGCTTCATTGTTTTTGTTTGTTTGTTGAGATGAAGTCTCAAGTTTAGTTCAGGCTGGTCTTGAACTCACCACGTCACTGAGGCTGGTTTTGAACTCATGGTGATCCTCCTGCCTCAGCCTCCTGATTACAGGTGTACACTACCATGCCTGGCAAACACTGCCTTGTAATTTGATTTTAATGTAACGGCAGTGGGCTGGGGATGTAGTTCAGTGCTTAGTAATTATGTGCAAGGCCCCAGGTTCCAATCTTAGCACCTTATATATAAATTTCAGTGTATTTGGTATCAGCAATTTTAATTTTATCAAAGTATTGCCTAGGGGTCATCGACCCACTGCAAGTACTGCCGGTGGGCAGGAAACCCAGCTGTGGGCTCTGTGCTGGGTGCCATCCTGGACAGTTTCCCTCCTCACGGGCACAGGATGCTCAGAAAATGCTTTCTGGTTCCTTTGCAGATGACGTGACTGAAGAAACATTCACAGACGATCCTTGTGAGCGACCCTTCCTGTCTACTCTGGTGCTGTGTAGGAGACAGGGCTAGAGGAAGATGCCTTCCCAGAGGGAAACAGAGCAGAACTTTGGCGGCCACGCCCCTCACACCGCTCCGTCTTCCTCTGATGTGTCCACGTTCATTTCAGTCTTTCTTGCCCCCCTTTAGACGATCCTTTGTCCTGCTTCTGTTTGCGGCTTTTCCAACCTGCAGTTTTCATTTCCTCTTTTGTGTCTCCGCAGATCTGGTGAATGACCCTTCCACGGATGAGACAGGCAAGTTGCACGGAAATCCTGAAGGTGGGGCGCGGTCCTGTCACCAGTCACCCTGTCTACCCTGGCTCTTTAATCGGTTCTGTGGTCTTAGTTCTGCATGAAGGGGCTGTGGGAGGGCTGCTGGGGACAGTGGAATAAGAGAAGAGAGACCTTCCGGTCCTTGAAACGGGAAAAAGTGGATTTGTAGCCAACACAGGCTTCCAGAACTTAGCTTGCCATCCGCAGGACCGATACCTTTGCAACACCTTCCCTGTGAGCATCAGTGAATCCGGTTCCTCGGGCCATAGTTCAGAAACGTGGTCGCACCGGGCCCCGACCCCGTATCTCTACTCCTGCCGGCCCCACCCTCCTTCCCCTTGAGATCTGAAGGCCTCCTCACCTGCTCTTTTGTGCCTTTTCAGTGCTGGCGGATGTCCAGCCTTCCGCGGATGAGCTGGGTGAGTTCAGACCTGGGATCCGGGGCCGGGTCAGGCCGGGAGGGAGGAGAATTGCAGTCTAGGTAGCAAGCACATTCTTCCAGCAGCTGTGCTTACGTGTGTGGTATTTAGAGCCCGAAATGGGAACTCTGATAGGTGTTCTTTGTTTGGTTTGGTTTGGTTTTTTGACACAAGGTCTCACTATGTAGTTGAGACTGACCTGGAGCTCACTATGTAGCCCGGGCTGGTCTCCAGCGATCCTTCTGCCTCAGCTTCCCCAGTGCTGGGATTACAGGTGTGCGCCACCACAACTGGCTTTTCTGCTAGGTGTTTAATATGCGCAATGCCAAGACCCAGTCCTCTCTAAATTTCCAGGACTCGGTGACAAAAGGAAGACACTCTAGGAGGAGCTTCTGCCTCAGGATGGGCAGCACGGTTAAATGGCCAGGCACAAGGGACAGTGTTGGGAAGGAAGGAAAGGAGAAACTTAATTACTTGATTTGTATTTCTTCTTAATTTATTTTGTGGTGCGGAGGAATGAACCCATGACCTCATGCGTGCCAGGCAAGCACTGTGCCAATGAGCTACACACAGATCTTTTTGTTTGTTTGTTTGTTTTGTTTTTTTGGTCCCGGGGATTCAAGTTGGATCCTTGCACTTGCAAGGCAGGTGGTGGAGCCACTAAGCTGAATATGCACCCCTCAGATCTTTTTTAAACAAAGAGCTTTTCAAAGTCTGCTACTAAACGGGGTTATAAAGGTGAACCGAACTGAATGTCTTCTACTAGCCATCTCGGTCTAAGAGACAAGCTAGGCAGATGCACAGGCAGCTTCCTTCACTTCCACAACACGCGTGAGCCAGGTGAGCAGAGGAGCTGTGGGAGGCACCGGGGCCCTCGCCAGGGCTCAGCACTGGGAGGAAAGCTCTGCCCCTGAGCACCAAAGAGCAAGCAGAAGACAATCAAGAGAATAGGAGGGACTAAGTTTTAGGTAAAGCCAAAGGCACCAGATGGAAACAAAGACCAAACACAATCTGGTCCTGCTGGCTCACGACTACAACCCTACCCCTGGGGGAGGCTAAAGCAGCAGGAGGATCACAAGTTCAAGCCCAGCCTGGGCAACCTGATGAGACGCTTGTCTCAAAATTAAAAACAAGAACAGAAAAGCTGGGAATGTAGCTCATTGTGAAGGCCCTGGGTTCACTTCCCTGTACTGCAAGGAGAAAAAAAAAAAAAGAGAGAGAGACAGGTTTCTGCGAGGGAAGAGTGGCATCAGATTTGTTAGGCCAGAGAGATCGTGGAGCACACCCCCACCCCATTCCCTCTATCTGAGCCTCCAGAGCAGTGTGCAAGACTGACTCGGCAGAGCAGCCCGAAACCCAGGAAACCTGCAGGATGGTGGGCGGCTTCCCCACAAAGACAGCAGCCCAGCCGGGCAAGGTGGCGCACACCTGTAATCCTAGTACTCGGGAGGCTGAGGCAGGAGGATCACCAAGAGTTCCAGACCTGTCTGGGCTACATAGCAAGACCTGCCTCAAAAAACAAAACCAAACCAACAAAAAAACGAGGCGAACGGAAGTAAGCACAGCGCAGAGGGAGAGCAGTGGTCAAGGTGACGCCCAGGTAGCAGGTGGCAGCAGAACTCCCAGAGGCCTGGCTCAGCCTGGCAGAGGGCACGTGGCCAGTGTGTGACATCACGGATCTGGAGACTGAGCGGAGTGATAACCCTTGCACAAGGTAGTCGGGTCAGGAGACCTGGCCGAAATCTGGGCCCCCATGCGAGCTCTCTGGTGACATCCCACAGGGAACTCTGCACAGCACTCCTTGGCCAGCTCCCCACTCCCAGACTAAACCCCTGCTAACCTCGCCCCACAACCAGGCTCGGGATGGACCTGACCCTTGCCCTGCTGTCAGCCGAGAGTCCATGCCGGTGGGTCTGAGCCACAGGAGGGTTTCTCTGTGGAGGAGGATCTGCTCCCGCACAGAAACATGTGCTCCTGAGCTCGGGACCAAGCTCCCTGGGGCACATGGCTCCAGCTTTGTGTCCCCACTGTATTTGCGGATTGCTGGGCATGGTGGCACAGGTCTGCAGTCCCAGCTACTTGGGAGGCTGAGGCAGAAGGATCACTTGAGCCCATGGGTTGGAGCCCACCCTGGACAACATATGAAACACTGTCTAAATTTTTTTTAAATGTCATTTTAGTCCTAGGGATTGAACCCTTGGCCTTTGCACTGAGCTACATCCCTACCCCTCTTCCCCCCCCCCATATTTTATTTCCATTCAGTGTCTCACTAAGTCACTAAGTTTCCCAGGCTGGGTTTGAACTTGCAGTCCTCCTGTCTCAGCCTCCCAGAGCTCTGGAAGCATAGGCATGCACTGCCACACTCCACTTTTGTTTTTCTTACAAACAACACAGAGATATTCACTGTACAACAAGTTGCTCAACTGTCCAGGAGACAAAGGAGGCAAAATCCCCTCCTAACTCCCCATCTGTCCCATTATGTGGATCAAATCAGCCCCTTGGGGATTTTAGAATTTGCCGAGAGTTATTAACTCATTTGCTCCCTATTTACGGCCTAAAGGGCTCCCAAGTAAAGCAACAGTTACAGAGGGCGACTTCTAGAATTGGTAATAACCGAATAAAATGTTTGCTTTCTAGCTTTGGCCAATGATAAAAACGCCACTGCAGGTATGGTTACTTTTTGCACGTCTTTCTCTTGGGCTTTTCTTTCTCCCTGAGCATCCCTTGCCCTCTTGCTCTTTAGACAGTACTTTGTTCAGCATCCAGCTTAGTCCTGATTTTTCTCAAAGAGCATTTTCAGGAGTGTTCACTCCCTGGACTCAGTGTTGTGTGTTTGCTCGTTCCCAATGAGCCCCGACCGGGGGAAAGGAGACCACTGGCACCTGGTCCCCGAGGCCCCCTCTCCCCCTCCCACTTTGGAACTGTATTTGGTGATTCACAGACTGGGAAAGCAAATCAGTTAGACGAGGAGGACTCGCATTACCCAGACACCTCAGACAGGAGGGCGCTGTCGGACGCGCTCATTTGCACCTGCAGCTGGGGTGGAAACAGCTGGAGCTGAGAGCAGGGACCTGCCCAGATCGCTGGTTCTCCAGAATGAGGCTCCTGCCTCTCAGCTTCACGTTTCATAGCACAACCTGCAGTCTTAGAAAGACTTTTTTATTTTCCTAGAAGAACACTTAGAGATCATTTCAGTGCTTCTGCATGCAGGCAGGGAAGCACCTAAACCTCACCTGAGTTGCTTTCTTCTTTTTCCCCCTCTGTCCCCTGTCCACCTCTCCCCCCAACCCTTGGGCCTGCTTCTGCGGCCCCGATTCGGCCTCCCTGTGCTTTGTGCTGGGCCCCCTCAGAGTGCCGGGATGAGAAGTTCACATGCACAAGACTCTACTCGGTGCACCGGCCCATCAAGCAGTGCGCCCACCAGGTCTGCTTCACCAGGTGAGGGACAAGCCCATGTGGTGTTTTCCTGTCAGAGGTCATTTAGTGAGCACTCCCTGTGGAATTGCACTTACTATTTTTATGATCACTGGGGGGAACCAGAGATCGAATACACACTGAGCTACATCCCCAGCCCTTTAAAAAAATTTTCTTTTTTTGAGAAAAGTTCTTGCTAGGTCACTAAGTTGCCCATGTTGGGCTCAATCTCAGGATTCTCCTGCCTCAGCCTCCCACAGTATTAGGGTTCTGGGAACCAGGCTGGAACCGCATTCTTCAAGGGCACAGGATTTTAGCATAACCCTCCTAGCTGTCCCTGAAGGTGCTGCCTGGAAGCTGGAGTCTGGGGAAGGGGCACAGAGACTGCACTGACTAACAGACGCCAGGAAGTAGTGAAGGCCAGGGTTGGGAGAAGGAAGGTCTGCAGGGAAACATCGCTGGGTTGATTTAGTTCCGGATGGAAAGAGGCGGAGGCAAAAGACCCAGCCCCAGAGGGAGAAAATAAAGCAAAGGAGAGTTTGGCTGGACTTCCAGCCAGGTGTGCAAGGTGTCACCAAGAACAGCGACTGATACTTTTCTGTCTCCTCCACTCTGCCGAGGTGGGGAAGGAAAACTGCAAGGCTTAGGGGCCCCTGAGTAGGGATGAGTGGGGTGCACAGTGCAGAGGCCGCCTCTCACGGCCTTTCCGGCTCCTTCCTCCTCCACAGCCTGCGGCGAACGTACATCATCAACAAGGAGATCTGCTCCCGCCTTGTCTGTAAGGAGCACGAAGCCATGAAAGGTGAGGGGTGCCGGAGCGCGGGGCTGGCAGGGGTGGCCCAAGGGCTGGAAACAAGGCCAGCGCACAGAGCTCAGGCCTGCTTTTGGAGGAGGCCTCGGGCCCCCAGGTCCTCTCAGCCTCAGATTAAAAGGTCAGCCACACCTCGATGGGCTCATGGAACGTATGGAACTGCTGGAGCCCTGGGTCCCTCTGGCGAGATGGAACACCCTGCTTCTACAGAGGGTTCCCTAAGGCTCTGGCTGCTTTCAGGGCCACGAGGAAAAGGACAGATGGGAAGCTTGGGCTAGGTCTATAAAAACTTTCCCTTGGACAGGGCATTTAGAAACTGGCTACACTCTAAACAGTTCACCAGGGCCAGCAAGCATTTGCGTTGCTCTCTGTGAAGTCGCAGAGGCAGAAAGACTCTAAGAACCAGCTCACAGGGGTCCGAGTGGGACCGAGCATGCTGGGAACAAACACACTTCTCGCCTCGCCGGTGGACAGCCCCGAAGCCGGCTGTGGTCGGGCCGAAGCCACACACACGGCCCCTTCTGACTCAGCAGCTGCCTGCCTCCGGGCTGCTGAGTCAGAGCCGGAGTCACCGCCGCGGGAGGAGAGGAGACCGGCGCGGCCCCTGGTGGCTTGGTTGAAGCCACCTGCAAGGGAAGCACCTTGAGCCGAGGTCGAGTGCTCGGGACAATGGCACCTCCGGGCTCTCGGGGGACCTGCCAAAGTGGGGTGTTCCCACGCAGTAAACACCGGGGTGGACGCGGAATGACTGGGCCTCGCTTCTCCATGAGCAGGTCCATGACCCGCAGACTGGGAGCTGGGTAGAAAGGACCACCTGCGCCGGGCCCTGGGCAAAACGGTCACGGCAATACTCACACACACGTGGAGGTGGGTGCTTTCCTGCGGGTCTTACAGAAAGGGGCAGCGAGGTCCGTGGAGGGCCAGGCACTTTCTAGAAAGTGGAGCTCGCTAGCTGGGGTCTGGCCGGGCGCCTTCCTCTGCCCACACCGACTGCACCGCTGGCCAAGCCTCTCCTCCCGGCCTCTCCCCAGCCTGACGTCCGCTCCGCTTCCCCGCAGACGAGCTGTGCAGGCAGAGGGCAGGCCTGCCCCCCAGGCGACTCCGCCGCTCCCGCTACTTCCGACCTCCGCCCTGTGAGGACGCCGACCCGCACAGACCCAGGGGCCCGTGATGTCGTCGGGAAGACGCAAGAGGGAAAACTCCAGCCAATCCGCTTCTAATGGCCAGCTTCGCCCCTGCTTCCTAACTTTTCACGGAGCCGCGTAACATTTATCTCGTTTTTCGGTATTTTAAATACATTGTCGCATAGTTCTGCTGCTGCCCGGTATCATAGGCACAGTGGGTAAATGCCAACCACCCGGCTGATACAGGAAAAATCTAAGTACAGTTTTCAGAACAGAATAAACTTTGGATTCATGTTTTGTTCTTTTTTCGGTGGTGCTGGGAATTGAACCCAGGGCCTCGTGTGTGCTAGGCAAGAGCATTTTCCTTTTCTAGTTCCTAGATTAAGTCTCTATCATTTCTCCATATTCGCTTTAACTATTTTGCTCTGATGGTTCTACATTTTGCCTGGGAGGTTTTCTTGATGAGATGGATGATGGTAATTTTTGTCCGCGATTTTCCCACAGAGCTGCGGATTTTATAATTGTACATAAACACACGAAGAGGCCGAGGCTAGCGAGAGAGGACAGGGCCAGGCACGGAACTTGGGCCCTTAACGCCAGGCTGCTGTGCCTTTGTCCCAGCAGGAAGTAGGGAAGGAAGTGACGCTACCATTACTCAGACACCGTCTCGAGAAACTACTTGTGTAGAATGTGTTCTCCCAGAATTGTTGCTACTCCTCCATCCTCGCCAGTTCCCGGGACACAAATGGCTTCTAGGATATCCCTATCTGAGTCCTAGAAGGGAGAGCAGGCTGATGTTTCAAATGGAGAGGAGAGGAAACACAACATTCACACACTCATCCTGGCTCTGTCGATAACTGCGCGGCCTCAGGGAAAGCTGCACTTTGCTTTAGTAGCCCTGGTTTAACTTCCTCATCTTTTGTCAGTTTTACGGTCCTCATTCTGCGATCCTCTGGAATAGAGGACACACCACAGCCACATTCCCAGCAAGCTCGCCTGCTTGCTCTGTCCTCAGTAGTCTCTGCAGTCCAACAATGGGACCAGTGCAGTTCTGGGGTTGAAACCAGGGCCTCCTGCATGCTAGACAGATACTATGCTGAGCTACAGTCTGGGCCACCACATTCCCACTTTAATAAGTGACAAATACTTATTGCAAACCCTCCTTTCTGAATAAAAACCTTCTATAAAAACCAGCGGCATTCAAATAGGAACGAGCAGACAACAGTTACAATAGAGGCTGGCTTCCTTTTCATGTAGCTGAGAAAAACTGGCTCAATGAGGCTCAGATTCTTGTTTTTCCCTCCTGTGGTGCTGAGATTGAACCCAAGCCAACAACTCACCAAGGAACTCTGTCCTCGGCCCTATTTTAATCTGAGACAGGAAGTCACTAGACTGCCCAGGCAGGCCTCTAACTGTAGTCCTGCCTCAGCCTGCCAAGCAGCAGGAACGGCAGGCATGTGGCGGGGCACCTGGCTATGGCTGCGTTCTTGCTGTTAAATAATTTAGGGATGGCAGGTGTAGGGCAGAGGGAGAGCATCTGCCTAGCATGAGCAATGCCCTGGTTTTGAACCCCAGTATGGAGAAAGAAAGAAAGATAAAGAAAGGAAGAAAGAAAGAAAATTTTCAGTTTAATGTGATTTGCACAACTGATGAAAGAGAAACACACACACACACACACACACACACACACAAACCCAACTCGATGGGATCTCTGTTCCACATGGTACCCAGAGCTAGATATATTCCTATATAAACATTAAATGCATACTGTAGCTACTGTTGAGATGCCATAGGCACAGACTTTCTAAGAATCTCTTCAAAATGCTCCAAACCAGAAGTAATGAAGAGATGGAAACACTAATTAAGCTGACCTGTTGGTGCATGCTGTATATGTGTGTACAGAACTCTCACACATACTTCATGAATGCACACAATTGTTGCATGTTGATAAAAATGTAAACAAAAATGTTTAAGGAGATGGAAAAGTTAATGCCCCTGACATGATCACTGCATGCCACACACTTGTACTAAATTATTACACTGTCTGGTGTACATTCGTATACTTAACGTAATAATCAACAACTGAAAAATCAATACCAATGTATATTTTAGGGAATATTTAAAAAGGCACTTTGTGGGCCAGGGATTTAGCTCAGTGGTTCCGGCACCTGCCTCGCGAGCACAAAGACCCAAGTTCGATCCCCAGTGCCAAAAAAACAAAAAAGCAAAAAAGTTCTCATGAACTGGCCCTCTGGCTGCCTGTTGCACAAGACAGGACCGACATTACCTGAGGGCAGCGGTTCCACCCCAGCATTGTATGAATCGCAAATTAAATATTTTAAAATGAATTTTTATCCAACTTCTTTCTTAGAGTTAACTGGCCCTTGGTCTGGTTATTGCCTTTTCTCTTCTTGCCTGTGTTTACAAAAAAGACCTGCATTCAGGCTCTTCTAACCTACTTTACCCACTTTCAAACCCGAGTGCCAACACTGGTGCAGTGTCTCTATTCTGCTCTCCTGTGCCCCGTTCTTCACAACGCTACCCTACCGGTGCTCATCCAACATTCCCAGTTGAGGTCCGCTCCACAAGGTACGGGCCCTTTTCTTTTCTGCCCCCTTCAGGTCCTGCTAGGGGAAGTTTCACGCTTTCCTCTTACTTGTCTTTTGCTTGAGCACATTTCTATGTTTTGCCATTTCTTGCTGTTCTAAAGCTCTCTACACTTTCTGGTGATTCTGGGGATTGGATCCAGGCCCTCATGCTAGTTAAGCAAGCACTCCGCCCCTGAGGTACATCCACAGGCCTGGAATTGTGTTTTAAAGAAAAATCAATGATTTAAAATGGACTGTTAATGTTGGGATTTTAGGGTCTGGTCAACACAGCCACTGGGGATTGCATGCTTTCTTATTTTTTTGGTACCAAGGATTGAACTTGGGACCTGGCGCTTGTGAAGCAGGCAGCGGAACCACTGAGCTAAATCCCCAGCCCAGGATTGAGTGCTTTCCTGGAGTTCTGCGCAGGCATCACCTCCTCTGCCTTCCCATAAGGTTAGGTTACTTACTCTCTTCCCAGATTGAGCTGATCCTACTCTGAGCCTGATTTCCCCAAATTTCACCCTTGTAATTCAAGAAAACTCCTTTTCCTTGAATGAACAGGCTGGAAATTCAAGTGTGCACTCTGCTCACTACAGTTCCACACACACTTTCTCTTAGTTTTCTTCTGACTCGTGGCAGATGGTACAAACACCAGCTGGTTTCCTCGCCTCGGCCTCTCACTTTTGGTGACATCAAGTGGTGCGTGATGCTAGCCACAAGCTCCTCCCTCACGGCTTCAGGGTGTTTGTGGTGAAAGTGAACGCTTAGACAATACTGTGCATCTGGTCAGGAGGAACAGCGCCCCTGGCTGCCAATCCGGGAGGGAGGACCGCGGACAGTGACAGGGACAGTGACAGGCGGAGCCCAGGGCAGGAAGACAGATTCTCCAGGTCCTGACTCCAAGTGCATCTGGGAAGTGTGGGAGGGCTCCTGGGAGACCTGGAGACGCCGGACAAAAGCAAGGAGCCAGGAGCGGTAGAGAAGAGGCAGACGTGCTTGTGGTTTTGTCAACTCCGAGGCCAACCTACCCTTGCTCGGCTTAGCATTTCCGCCAACCCGGCGTCGGGGAAAGTGTCAGGCTAGGTTCTCTGTTCTCTGTGGCAGGGACAGAAACAGGTGGTCACAGTGTTTTTCTCTCTTTTTAATTTTTTTTTTTTTTTGAATGTTAAAAACCAGTCATGCAGCAGCAGAAGCAGCAAGCAGTCAGACAACAACTTCTGGGCAGAACCCACCACGGAAAAAGCAAATGTTGTTTATATAAATAGACACGCAGAGCCCACAGCTTCCTGTTAACAAATCGAGCTTAGCTCTACTGCAAGCCCTCACGTTTTTAAAGTAGCTGCTAATGGTTCTGTGTTTTGTTTTCAATCTGTCCAATCACTTTGGGGAAGGGTCTGGTTTTCCTAGCTCCTAGGTCCTGCCGTTCTCTTCCCTTTCCCAGGAATTTCTCTTTCTTCTCCCCTTTCCTTTCTTCTGTGCATTTACCTGGCTGTGTGTTTGGACTCCAGGTATAGTGGGAGTGTGGGATTAAATTCATGGAAAACTCCCCAGAGACCAGTCAGGATGCTCTCCCAAATTTATGCAAGAGTCACCGATGTCAGAGATGAGCTTGGACAAATATAAGAAATTCTTTTCTTTTTCCTTCCCTTTCCCTTCCCGCCCCTCCCTCTTCTCTCTCTCCCTCTCTGGGTAGTACAGAATTGATGGGGGTTGAGGTGTCACAGGCATGGCTGGGCACTGTCTCCTAATTATTCTGTCTCAAATGGTGAAACAAAGGAGTTACAACAAAGGGTACTGAGAATGCACAGAACAACATTTCTCCCATTCATATTACACACATATTTTTTGAGACACGCTGGTCTTGAATTTAAGACCCTCCTAATTCAACCTCTCCATCTGTTCTTGAAAATGGTAAGATTTAGGTGGAAGAAGCCGGGTGTGGTGGTGCATGCCTGTAATCCCAGAATTTGGGAGGCTGAGGTAGGAGGATCAACCAGAGTTCCAGGCCAGCCTGGGCTACCTATCAAGACTGTCTTTAAAAAACAAAATAAAAGGCCAGGCGTGGTGGTGCATGCCTGTAATCCCAGCACTTGGGAGGCTGAGGCAGGAGGATCACTGTGAGTTCGAGACCAGCCTGGGCTACATAATGAGTTCTAGGTCAGTCTCAACTACATAGTGAGACCCTGTCTCAAAAAAC